TGATGTCTATAAAGAAAAGTCCTAAAAGTTTGGGATCAAAAAAAAGATTCAACTCTTAGCAGGTTTGGGGCTAACAGCACCTAATCTCCGTTGGCTGGCACTTGAAAAACAAACAAACTGCGAGATAACCCCGAATTACTCTGTTAGGTGGAGAAAGTGTTGTAAGGAATAGAGACCTAATTATGGCAGTGTACATCACAATAGAAAGTCTGTGGGGTGCCTTTGCTCTTGGTCAGCTCGGTGTATTGACGCAAATGTCATTTATAGAATGCCAACCTGGTCATCATACACGCACGAGTTATGGAATTTTATTCCAGGAATTTCTCTTAGCAAAGCTTTGCAAGGCAGGATGATCGTGCTTCGTAGCTTATTGATGTACGCTACCAAGCAACAAATAAGCTGATCAAGGTTCAATTCTGCAGGGGTCAAATGGCACCGAAATTTCTCCCTGTGGCTGCCATTTAAGTAGCACTAGGTCTTCAGTTGAAACAAACTCCGGGTTACCACAAGTTAATGATGATCGTTGACCTTGAAGTCGATTACTGTGAGAAGATTTTTACTCGGAATGTTGAGGCACTTCTGTTTTTTTTGATGGACATGTTGCTTTGAAAAGTGAAGATTAATTGCTGGGATTTCCCTGATTTCTGAGCCTCAATAGCTTTTGAAGTCCCTTAAAAATCAAAATAAGCTTTCTGAACGCTTTCTAAAGATCGGGTCGAAGGGCTTTCCCGCAACCGTTCGGTAATGACGATGTCTGCCCACAGCCAATGAGATCCTCTGGTCAGAAAAAATAATAAATATAGTTGCGAAGAATATAATTTAGAATCTGACACATTTGAATGGATATATTGTTAACGTATCTATGATTTTTTTCGTAGTGGTTGCTTATAACTTTTTGGAACATAATGAGGACTAGATGGTACTTAAACACCTTTTTTTAAAGCCATTTTAACAATTAAAGCAATTTTCAATATAGTTTATGTCTTCCTTTAAGCAGACAGGTTTTTATTGTTTTTCACACTTTGTCTTCCTCTGCTCTACCTATTCGCTCACATTCTTGTTAGTGCCTTATTTCACTGCTGACTTTTCCGCTCCATTTGATTGCCGCTCTTATTTACGCCGCTGTTCCGCAATTGTTTCTCAATTTTTCTGCTTCACGTAACAGCCTACTTAGAGACAACTGAGTTCTCAAACCTCTTAAATAGCTTAATTTACTTTACTAAACTTCTTTGTTTGTCTCTGTTTGGTAGCAAGTGATTGAATTTGACTTTGTGAAACTCACTTAACACATCCGACTATTGTCTGTTCAGGCAATAATTCTGCATGCAATGCCACATTCCAGATAAGATGCTACCATGAAACGCCGGCGACGAATCACACGTCGTTTGGTGCGAATCCTCTGTGGTCGGCGACTACCACAAACATGGAACACAGTTCTCGTGTTGCTCTCCATTCATATGTACCTCACGGTACCTGTCATGCTTGCCGCTGGTATTACGGAACATATGACAGGTAGAACTAGTTTGTGCCATTTTGGCATTCTTCTTTTTAAGCAGGCATTTTTCGTTGAGAATTCTGCCCAAAAAATTTCTTTATCTAACCACTGAAACAACAAACCTCTCTTAGACATTGCGAAGAATCAATAGACTTTTTTGTACCTTTGCGCCTATGCTCTGCAAATCATGAAGTGCTTCTTACATAAAATGCAATCGCATTTGAATTATTTGCATCAGGAAGTGGTCTCAGTTTTTGCGCGAACTCTGAGGCGAGGAACTCAATGTCGAGCAAATGACATTCATAACAACGTTCACCATTTATATGCTAACCTTCAGTAAGTATAAGTAGAATTGTCAATAAAAAATACAAGTAAATCTCCCAAAAACATATTTGTGTTACTGGGTTGACAAATAAGTTCAGGTTTTTGGAAAAAGAAAATTTTGGCAATATGTCATACATCAGTTAACAGAAGAGATCTTCCTCTACAAGAGGGTTATATGGCTTACACAACGATTTCAACATGTTGAAGTAAAATGTCGCTCGTAAGTTCTGCAAAAAAA